ATAATTGTTGTCACAGGTTAAATTTGCAATCTATGTCCATTCATAAAATTGCAGCTCAAAAATTGTGATTTGATGTTTTTAACATTTGAGCGACTGCTGACTATACATCATTATTACATGTATATGATATAACTACAGGGGCTACAGTGAAGTCGTCAGGGTGCAGTACAGAGACACCGATGGTCCAAACAACAATGGGCAATCACCTGGGGATCTGGTGTCAAAGGTCAAGGTGTGGCACGACAACTCTGGATTATCACCTGGGTGGTTTCTTAACAAGGTACACGCACAATGTTTAAGCTAGAGCATGCATCAAAGAAATTGAACCTGGGGGTCCCGACTCTATTGTAACAGTGGGGGGTTTACAGGCGCTACCAACTGACCCGGCCGGCCAGGCGTGGCCATCTCGCTACAAAGCAGGGGGAACTAATGGCTTCCAATGCTTTACCGAAAAGAGACATGCAGTCCCCTCAAAACAATTGCAGTTTCTCAAAAGCTTACTTATTTTTTTCTTACTAACTGTGTTAACTCTAGATCTGACGATAGTCAATGAACAATACGTGTAATCGGTAATGATTAAAGATGTCCAAAATAATAGCGTACAACTCATCAGCTAGTCATGATGTTTTTGCTATGCGATGAGTCAAATCCCTGCAACTTTCCACCTGATCTGTTCTGTCCACATAGGTGGTGGTGCAGAATTTAAAAACGGGTCTCCAGCAGGAGTTTCCGTTCTACCGCTGGCTATCCAGAGGGAGGGACGACAACAGAATAGCCAGGGAAGTGGCGATGAATGGGTCTGGGGACGGACAAGGTACTGACACCACCTCCTGTATTTGTGAATTTTATAAATTTGACACTTAAGGTGACGCTGAAGTCTCGTGGGGTGGTGCGGGGAGGGTATAGGAGTCGGTGACTTCTCAACCCCATAGCGTCTTAAGATTTCGTTCAAATTCAATGAAATTCACACACAAGAAACAAAAATATGTGTGGATCACATAAACAAAATGTTTTGCAGGAGAAAATGAGACAATTTAGCAAATTTGTACCTCAAAAATCAACTTCCGGTTTGTGGGGTCCCAATCCGTTTGTGGCAAGTTTAGTCCATAAAGCTCTCCAAATATCACTAAAACTTTAGTCTCAAGTCATTACTAACACTACAAGCCATGTCCGTATAGAATTATTTTTCAACATTTTGACCACATTCAAAAGATATTAGAGAAATAAGCTTGATTTTTGGTGCAAAACTCTGGCGTGTCTCTCTGTCGGGGCAACGACCTCTCCAAAAATGTAACTCTATACGGCCAAGGAAAGGGGTCACCCCCACCACGTGAAACACCCAAATAAGGCATGAACCGAATGAATCCGAAGAAAAATTGCCACAAAAAAGAGGTATCCATTGGCTCCGATGTTTGCCGAAGATGCAAATGAGGCTGTTGTGTAGCCCTACTGGCACTGCACTAATTGGAATAATCCCCCATGACAGGCCTGCTGGGAACTGCCTGGAACACGTGTGGACGAGTCCAACTCAAAACAAATAGCATGCAGGTTCCATTTTTGTTAGAGTCCATTTCTACATGCAATTATTTACAGTTTATAGTTAATTTATAGTTTATTTTCATTTTTTTTGTAAGTATTTTGGTACCTTATAGCGACAAACATGTATACCGTGCACTAATAATTTGTCTAGATAAAAGAAACCCTTTTCTTACTTGGTAGCTCCGAAGTGCCACAGTGGTTACTACCGTTCGAAAACACAGCATTTTCACCGGATATCACATTTTTTAACGAAAGAAAACAATATTCTACTGTGGTGCTGAAGGCTACAGCTCTTTTTATATGACAACAGTGTGTATACAGTGTATTTATCCCTGTTTTTGTAAGAAACCTTCTTCAGTGTAAGCGGGTCAGGCCTTGTGGGCGTAATTGAAACCACCTCTTGTCACAGCTGCTAGCTCTCCCATCTGAATACATCAAGATTCGGCCAACTTCGGACACGTTCCACATGAGTGATAATTGTAGCTTCAGCGTCACCTGTCTGTTGCCATGGTGCTGTGATAACTGGCTTCATAATTGTAGAGAATCCTATTGGTAGCTCATTCTGACATCGGGAGGGCCATTCTGACATCGATCGAGAGACGCGTAATACAGGCCTAAGCTGAAACCTGTTGTTCACTTTCTTTCAGTGAAAATCTGCAAGGTTCGCTTCACTACTGCTGACAAGTGGTCCGCCACAAGTTCAAGTCCCGTCATTGTAAGTCTCGTCGGGAGTCTAGGACAGTCAGAGAGGATTCAAGTCTTGGGAGAACTGAAGAGAGGAAGGTATGAGCTCGAGGCTTCATCGGTGCAAAGAGGGTCTCCAGAATAAATTTCATAACCTCCTTGGGTTGGCTATCAAAGTGACAAAGCAGAGGCCTTCTTATTTACGTCTGTATGCAAAGAATCATTCCTAACATTGAATTTAGGTTTAAGCCGACAGCACCATCATGCTACATGTTTGTTTTACCAGGGATACGGAATTCACAATTGTAACAACTAACCTCGGAGAGTTGCAAGGGGTGCACCTGAGTCTTCGTAACAAAGGTCACTGGTTGCTTGAGAGGGTAATATACATATGTCTAATCGCGGTGTGTGTGGTGTAGGTGTGTCCTATCATGGAAGCAGCAGATTTATAGAATTTGCTCATTAATCATACAAATTAGAGTTTGCGTATTGTCATCGAATTATGGCATTCATCACTTAAGCTACCTACATACCAAAAAATCACGACGACCCATCAACTAGTTCTTGAGTTATCCTCCTCCAAATTATTTAACAGACGCTCCTGCAGTTCGATGGCTTCTTTGGTGTCAAACCCACGTCACTTCTTTATGGGCACAATAGCTATCTTCCACCCAAAACTCGTGACCCTAGCATGTCCAGATCAGGAGCGTTATTTTGCTGCAGTATCATAAGACATAACAAGTTGGTAGAGGGCCCAAACTCTAATCATTTTGACATCTCATCAAGACCTACCCACCTATGAAATATCAAGACAGTCCATCAAATTTGCATGCCTTCTCGAGTTATCGTATTCACACAGAAAACATCTTCTTGGCGTAGGTAAATATGCATACAGTAATACATGTAATATATTTTACAGGTTGAAGTACATACATGTACGCCAGGATCTCGACCGCTAGCAACTGAACGTCTTGGCACGTGGATTTCCAAAACTGAACACAGGTTCGACCTCGTGTCTGCCGTGATGGCGTAGCCAAAGCACGCTTCCAAATGAAAAGTCCCAGTCTCCAAATAAAAAGTTCCAGTCTTATGGCCTGTTACGCGGAGGCTGTTTGAATGAAATTCACGTAACCACACGCCTGTATAAAGTGATCTAGTGCTGGTGACGGAATTCTTAATTTTTGTTGTAAATATACTCGTATGGAATATATATACAGAGAGAGAGAGAGAAATAATATATAAAATAACATATGATATTGGTAAGGTACGGGATTATATATTGTATAAATGTACGGGAATCTGATTTATTAATATTATGATTTATCATATATTAATCATTTTTGCTGTAAACGTATTTACATGAAAAAGAAAAAAAGGTTCAATTCACAATATTGTTCACGTATACTTATAATATCATGGGTATAGATAGGGTTATTGGTAGAGCTGTGTACCTAAACAAATTTTAGGTACAGGTACAGGTACAGGTACACAGGTTTAGGTACAGGTCCGGACCTGAACCTGTACCTAAAAATTCGACCAATTTACATGCTCTTCTGAACTCTTTCAATAGCAACAAAAACATGTATACACTTGATAGTTAAGGTTTAATTTTGGTTTATGGAGAATGCTCAGATAAAATATAGGCAAAAGTAAGGTATTATTGTTTTCATGAACACACTGTCCTTACATTGGAACCCATTGGCGACCAGCTATTTCCACATTTAAGGTCACAAATAGGCATAAAATTGGTGTGAAATTGTTTAGGTACAGTACCGGTACGGAGGGATTAGGTATTTTGGACCTGTACCTAATCAATTTTTCCGGTACAGTATCGGTACTGAGTATCGGTACACAGCTCTAGTTATTGGTGATAACCTCATATTCAGTGTGGCTCGGTAAATGACAGGAGACTGGGTAATTCGCTAGAAACTGACTTTACTGTTTCTTTGGTTCTGTAAGGACAGTTAAAATCAAATATACTCGATTGGAAATGGGCTTAGGTAGTGTCTCATGTTTTGTAGAAAGAATTCGGAAGTATCCCATAATCAATATCTGCCTCTAGTTCACATGGAATGCAGCAGATTTATAGATATCCTCCTCAATTATCGGTCCACATACATGTATATCGGTCCATTGAAATAAAACTGGTTTCGGACTTTGTGTGATCTTAGTGAATATTTATCTTGCACATATCTATGGAAGTCCTCTTAAGTCTGCAAGTCGACCGATACAACTAGTTGCAGGAGGAACTAAGGTCTAAGGTAAAGGTATCTATGGAAAGCAACCAAACATCGACACAAATCGTCGCAGAACATATCTGAGAAAACATTATATATCGAATTAAGTAAAGAGATAAAAAAGATCTGGACACATATTAAAGTTTAAAGAAATTTAATTTTTCAATGTGTCTAATGTTTATAATCAAAATGTGACATGAGGGAAAATGCAATTACATTAAGTACAATATACAACCCTTAAAGGGCTTGAACATTTATGCTCCGAATAACTGGTTGGTTTGCATTCAGCGTGGCACGTTAAGTTGGAGGGGGGTAAGTTCTTCTGGTAGGATTTGCGGCTGGTCTCTGTCCCATTCTTAACAGATCTATTCTATTCTGCAGATATTCGATATGTTCCTCTTGTGTCTTAAGGTCTTTTTCAGAGTCGTCAAGACTTTTCTCCAATTTGTTCACCTTTTCTAACGCTTTAGCAAGTTCTGTACTGTGTTTCTTACACTCATGTTTCTGATGTCGCAATGCTTTACAAACATCTTCAACATTTTTACGCCGTTTCTGTACCTCCTCTTTCCATCGATCTATTATTCCATCTTTTTCTTCCAATTGTTTTCTTGCTTCAATGCAACAAGCCTGCTCTTTCACTTCTCTTTCGATTTCTGCTATTTTTCTTTCCAATGTTAAAACTTGGTTTTGCATCTTCTTATCCTTTTCTTTTTGGAGCTTACTGATTTCCTTTTTGTTGTTCCTCGCCATTTCAGCCTGCTTCTTTATAGTGTTTTCTTTTGCTTGTAATTTCAAATTGGCTTTGCTTATTTCACCCTTGAGGTTTTGGAGTTCCGTCTTTAGTTGTTTGTTCTCCGATTTTAGCTGATCGTCCGATGTTACGTTCAACAATTCATGTACTTGCGGCAAGTCACTGCGTCTCTCAATATTGTCTTCCTTTAACTTGTCCGTGAATCGCACTAGACGTTCGACTTGTTCGAGAGTGATTGTGGTGTTCGTTCCTACAGTGGCGCATGTGGCTGTGCTGTCAGTCCCCTTGGGTTCAGTGTGTGTGCCAGCTAATACACGGCGTACAGCGGAATGACGTAACGTCATCGTGCCTTGTACTAGAACGTGTTGCCCCTCTGGCGTTGATGTGTACTCCCTGCAGGTGTCTTGCCTGAACGTGGCGTTGACATCTGTGTCGCTAGCCTGTGCGTAATTACCTGGCGGTGGTCCGCAATACACGTTGACGTTGCTGTTTGATCCTATATGGAAGGTCTTGTTATCGGTGCCCCCAACTTTCAAATTGCGAAATTCTGAAAGGAGAGTTAGGGTCAGGAATGAAGAGATACATATACTCAACGTTAACAGAAACTCAGATCGGGATCTCTGCCGGTAGAATCAGCGATTCTCCCGATTGCGATTGTTCGCATGAAAGACTGTCTGAACATTTTTTACTTTAACTCATGTCACTTTAATCAAAGATCAATGGATTGACTTGAAATTTAGGATTTGTAAATGGGGAACCAACCTAACACATTGGAGTTGGAGTCTCTGTCGAAAAAGACAGGAGTAGGATCAAGATACGTGTGGGACTCTCTACCCTAGGCCCCCCGACACACATTAAGTACTTCTGAATGAGAATTGAAAGACCACATATCTGCGGTGAATATACATTACATGCGTAATATACACAGATTTTGAATGAGTTACCTTCTATTATTGTTGCACTTAAGACATCCTTTGGCGTTGAGCTCCGAGATAGAGTAGGGCTGAAACCGATAGCTGTGTCTGGTCGACTGCTAGTAGTTTCGTCATCAAATGGCTCCATTTTTGACATGTTACTTTGACAAACGTTCTTCGGTCCTGTAAAGACCCAGGGATAGGAGTTAAAGTAAAATGTTAACACTTAGATGCTTGCAGCACAGACGTCGTAGTTTCTGAAGTGATGATATATTGTGATAAAAAGATTTTTGTCTCATATATCTAGAGGAGATATTTTATCACAGTGATGCATTATGACAGGAGGGTATGCATGGATGAGTCCTGGCGCCGGCAGGGCCGATGACGCTTAACGTTCAATTCAGGAGGCCAGCATTGCTTAACGGTAAATATATATAAGCAACTTGTTTGGAATGTTCTTTTGAAAAAAATAGTTTGCGAACCGGTCACGGCGGTCTGTCACTACGTACGGCATTCGGGAAAAGTATCGGGTTACAAGACGCAGTTTTGGACTGCCACCAAGACTGCCATAACTTAGACTTAGTAACCAGGTAGCCCTCAGTTTGAAAACCATGCTATGGTATTTTACTCATTCATGATTGATGATACAAATACACGCACAGTATTAGATGATCCAAGTTTCTTGTGTGATTCACTGTGAGCAATGATGCTTTGCGTAAAATTTGCTTATTTCTACCGCTTCTTTTCCTACTAGTCTTCCCGAACAATTTACATTTTTATATTGATCTGGTGTGTTACGCCGAAGGGCGGTTATACCGGCTATACCGATACAGATCGGACGAAGGAACCAACACAGAAAGAGACCAACGTTATGTCCTATCTTCTAGTATATGATTGTAATCTAGTTACATGATAGTCAATAGAATAGTGTTATAGAATGAAAGAAATCGGTGTCCCTTTTGCGCACGATAGAAATGACTAGTTTCCATGCATTAACTAACCAAAACTTGTTAAGCAAAATTCTTACCTTCAAAGTACAATACGGTCAATGTTGAGTCGTTGACAATCCACTTCCGTCAGACATTGGAAATACGTAAAATCACGAAGTTCAGGATCTGAATAGGTGCACTTTGTTCTAATCGTCTCTGTGAGAGACTCCCTATGGATTTGGATGATACCATATGCATCTAGCTGAATGCATGTACAGTGTTCGTTACAGGTTGCCCACCAAGTTTTAGGGTATTTAAACGTCCACAAACTTGATCAGATCAGAAGGAAAGTCCGCAACCTGCGTCTTGCATACAGAAATGCGCAAGAAAAAACAGCCGTAGCGGCAGGGGTCGACGAACTTGACAAGTTGGACGTGTCTGTTACTCGGGGACTTCCGGGTAGTGTGTATAAAGACGTCCCGACAGCGGCGTCCCGTCAGCGAGAAATATCGCCGCTGTCGCGAAAATCTGTGTGTAAAGTGGGCTAACACACATTCCTGTGTCTGGGACCCATGGGGAACCAGCTATTTCCCTACTTTATGTCTTTTAGGTCACAAATAAGCATATAATTAGTGTAACTCTATACAGGTACAGTACCGGTGTTGATGGATTAAGTATTTTAGACCTGTACCTAATCAATTTTTCCGGTACTAGTTCACATGGCATGCAGCAGACTTATAGATATCCTCATCAATTATCGGTCCACATACATGTATATCGGTCCATTGAAATAAAACTGGTTTCTGGCTTTGTGTGATCTTAGTGAATATTTATCTTGCACATATCTATGGAAGTCTTCTTAAGTCTGCAAGCCGATGCAACTAGTTGCAGGAGGAACTAAGGTCTAAGGTAAAGGTATCTATGGAAAGCAACCAAACATCGACACAAATCGTCGCAGAACATTTCTGAGAAAACATTATATATCGAATTAAGTAAAGAGATAAAAAAAGATCTGGACACATATTAAAGTTTAAAGAAATTCAATTTTTCAATGTGTCTAATGTTTATAATAAAACTGTGACATGAGGGAAAATGCAATTACATTAAGTACAATATACAACCCTTAAAGGGCTTGAACATTTATGCTCCGAATAACTGGTTGGTTTGCATTCAGCGTGGCACGTTAAGTTGGAGGTGGGTAGGTTCGTCTGGTAGGATTTGTGGCTGGTTTGTTCCCATACTGCACTCCTGGTTTCTGTCCCATTCTTAACAGATCTATTTTACTCTGCAGATACTTGATATGTTCATCTTTTTTCTTAAGGTTTTTTTCGGAGTCGTCAAGATTTTTCTCCAATTTGTTCACCTTTTCTAGAGCTTTAGCAAGTTCTGTACTGTGTTTCTTACATTCGTGTTTCTGATGTCGCAATGCTTTACAAACATCCTCAACATCTTTGCGCCGTTTCTGTACCTCCTCTTTCCATCGATCTATTATTCCTTCTTTTTCTTCCAATTGTTTCCTTGCTTCAATGCAACAAGCCTGCTCTTGCCCGTCTCTTTCTGCTATTTTCCTTTCCAATGTCAAAACCTGGTTTTCCAACTCATGCATCTTCTCATCCTTTTCTTCTTGGAGTTTACTGTTTAACTTTTTGTTGTTTCTCGCCATTTCAGCCTGCTTCTTTATAAGCTCATGTATAGTGTTTTCTTTTGCTTGTAATTTCAAATTGGCTTTGCTTATTTCACCTTTGAGGTTTTGAAGTTCCATCTTTAGTTGTTGGTTCTCTGATTTTAGCTGATCGTCCGATGTTACGTTCAGAAATTCATGTACTTCGGGAAGGTCACTGCGTCTCTCAATATTCTCTTCCTTGAATTGCAGTAGACGTTCGACTTGATCGAGAGTGATTGTAGTGTTCGTTCCTACAGTGGCGAAAGTAGCTGTGCTGTTAGTTCCCTTGGTGTCAGAGTGTGTGCCAGCCAATAATGAAGCACGGCGTACAGCGGAACGACGTAAAGTCATCGTGCCCTGCACTAGAACGTGTTCCCCTTCTGGCGTTGACGTGTACTCCCTGTAGGTGTCTTGCCTGAACGTGGCGTTGACATCTGTGCCGACGCCATGCGCGTTACCTGACGGTGGTCCGCTATAGTTATACACGTTGACGCTGCTGTTTGATCCGATATGGAAGGTCTTGTTATCTGTGCCCCCAACTTTCGAACGAAAACTGCGATGATCTGAAATGAGGGATGGAATCAGAAATGAAGAGATACATAATTATACTCAACAGAAACTCAGATCGGGATCTCTGTCGGTAGAATCAGCGACTGTTTGCATATGAAAGACTGTCTGAATATTTTTTTACTTTAATTCATGTCACTTCAGATCAATGGATTGACTTGAAATTTAGGATTTGTAAATGGGAAACTAAGCTAACACATGAACCACCAATGCACAGGCTGGAGTCTCTGATCAGGATCCCCACCGCTGATACGTGTAGGAGTCTCTACCCTCCCTGACACATATACATATAACGTACTTCCAAATGAGAATTGAAAGACTACATACCGGCTGTGAATATATATTACATGAGTAATATACACAAATCAATTTTGGATGAGTTTTACCTTCTCTTCTTGCACTTAAGACAGCCATTCGAGTTGAACTTCGAGATGGAGTAGGGCTGGAACTGAAGGCTGTCCCTGGTCGGCTACTTGTATCGTCATCAAATGGATCCATTTTTCTTCGGTACGAGCAGGATGATGCTATGACAAACGTTCTTCAGTCCTGTAAAGCCGCAAGGAGATTAAAGGAAAGGGTTAACACTACTTAGGTGCTTGCAGCACAGACGTCGTAGTTTCTTAAGTGATGATATATTGTTATAAAAAGATTTTTGTCTCATATATCTACAGGTGATAAATTAGCATAATGATAGTGTTGTTGCATTACAAGTGACCGCTGTAACAGGAGGGTATGCACGGATGGATCCTGGCAGGGCTGGCCAGCATTGCTTAACCGTAAATTAAGCTGTATAAGACTTTGGGAGAAACTTGTTTGGAATGCAACTTGTTTGGAAAAAACTAGTTTGCGGACCTCGGACGCTCCTTATATTTTTGTTGTAATCTGGCGTTCGACAATGCGATACGAAGAATTTTTCATTACCGCAATATCACGATACATTCAGGATACGGAAAAACGTTGACGTATTTTCGTAAACGTAGAACGAAGACGTTACGTTTATCGAAGAATCATGACAACGCGGCTACGATTGACGGTGAATTAAAATGTCTGGCTACAGCTCACTGAAAAAGGCACGCAGACCCTCTAACGGCCTTCTATCCATCCATATTAGTTACGTGACTGCTTCGTACACAACTGGATTACAACTGGATTAATATAGACTTCCGTGTAGTTGTGTGTATACAGTCCATAATAGAGAGGTAAAGGTCACTGGTGACCTCCCTTTACACAGACAGAGAGAGTAGGTGTGTGTCCAACGTGAAACCCGGAGCGCAAAACACGTTTGACATACAACTACACGTAAGTCTATATTGATCAACCCCGGAGCGGAAAACACTACTTGTTATATGCGCTAGTTTACCTACGTGTGGTAAACGTTAATGAGCATGTATTCAACAGTATTTTCAGACTACCACTTGTCATTCCCAAGGACAGACAACACTTAAGGTACTGTTCTGCAACAACAGGAGCTTTTTTATTAATTTGCATCATCTTGTTTTGACCTTTATTTCCTTTTGGACTTCAAAAAATCTTCACTTATTTGCATAGCAATCAATATTTCGTGCTTATAAACCTTTTATTCCTCTAGTCTCTTAGTGTCACTGACAAAAGGACAGACTACCTGAAACGTCTGACCGTTTCCAAAATCATATCCAGTTGCTTGAGTAACTGTTTTTGGCGTGGCGTACCACTCGTTCTGATTCCCGTACATTGCCATATGAACCATATCTTACACAATATTGGCCAAGTTACACATATATACCTGCTCATGGTTAATTGTCAACATTCCTTGCAAAGCGCGCAACGCTAACATTATGGCATGCGTTAAAAACGGACTTTGTGTGCAGGCAAGTTTTCTTAGGGGGTAGTTCATCAACTTATTTGCCTTCGCCTTGCAATGCCACAAACAATGTAATGTATGCTTCATTGGGATTGTCAATCACACAAACAAAAATTTACCCTTTGCCGCCTTTCCTATGTCGAACTCTGGCATGTATCAACACGTTTCACTTCTACTAAGGTCTTCAACTATTTAATAATCTCGTCCAAAGACTATAGCTTAGTAACCAGGTAGCCCTCAGTTTTAAAACCATGTTATGGCATTTTGCTCATTCATGATTGATTATACAAATATACCCACAGCATTAGATGATCCAAGTTTCTTGTGTGATTCACTATGAGCAATATACAGTAGTTTTTAATGGTGGTTTGCGTAAAATTTGCTAATTTCTGCCGCTTTTTTTCCTACTAGTCTTCCCGGACAATTAACATTTGTATGTTGATCGGAAGAAAACCTGAAATGACGAAGGAACCAACACGGAAAGAGACCAACGTTATGTCTTATATCTTCTAGTATATGATTGTAATCTAGGTACATGATAGTCAATAGAATAGTTAATAGAATTTGAATTATATTAGAATGGAAGAAATCGTTGTCCTTTTTGCTTTGCGATAGAAATGACTACTAGTAGTTTCCATGCATTAACTAACCAAAAGTTGTTAAGCAAAATTCTTACCTTCAAAGTACGATTCGATCAAGTCGAGTCGTTGACAATCCACTTCCTGCGCAGTCAGACATTTGAAATACGTAAAATCCCAAAGTTCAGGATATGAATAGGTGTACTTTGTTCTAATCGACTCTGTGAGAGGTCCACATATGAGATTGAGAGACTTTGTTTAACCCCCCTTGTTGACCTTGTTGACCTTGGTTTTGGATGATAACCCCCCCAGTTGACCTTGGTTTTGGATGATACCATCTAGCTGAATGCATATCCAGCGTTCGTCACAGGTTGCCCGCCAAGTTTTAGGGTAACGCCCACAAACTCGGTCAGAACAGAAGGAAAGTCCGCGATCTGCGTCTTGCATACAGAAATGCGCGGGAAAACAACAGCCGTGCCGCCGGCAGGGGTCGACGAACTTGACGAGTTGGACGTGTTCCTCGGGGACTTACGGGCCGTGTGTATAAAGACCTCCCGACAGCGGCGTCCCGACAGCGGGAAATATCGCCGCTGTCGCGAAAATCTGTGTGTAAAGTGGGCCAAACATACAGTCCTGTCTCTGGGACCCATGGGGGACCAGCTATTTCCCTATTAGATCAAGCATATAAAAGTATTTAGCAGGAATTTTCCCCATTTTATTCCAGTTGTTTTAAAATTCGAACGGACTCTGGCCTCCATATATGATTGGTAATTTCATGCAAGAGCAAGTTTTTTTTTAATCACACTTCCAACCGTAAAACCAAGGATCACACAAACCCAATTTTGGTCGCTCAACGATCGCCCAGGGATTGTCGTCTAGTCCACGTGAAAAGGGACCCTAAGTAGATATCGTACAGTCCTCCCACGTTATGTAATTAGCCTCCTTCGCAGTCTTGTTGGGCGTCGGCGTTATTTTTTCTCTGAGAGACGCGAGTAATATGCGGCCGCGAGGGACGATTTGCTGCCGAGGGAGTTTTTCCAACTTGTTGGAGCGCGAAACCTTCTCTCCGTGGCAAAAACTCCCTCGGCAG